TCTAGAGGAAGCAGAAGAGGATTAGAAAACTTTCATTTACCTTCACACAATTTAAAAAACACAGAGGAAACTTTGCGGATGGGCTGGAGAGATGCCTCAGTGGTTAAGAGCATTGGCTGCTGTTGCAGAGGACCCAGCACCCACACAGTGGCTAACAACTGCCTAAGGGAGGATCTAATGCCCTCTTCTGATCTCCACGGGCATTACATGCATGAGTGTACTCACACACACGCAAAAAAAAACTGAAATAATTTTTTTTAAAAAAAAGAAATGATTTTGTTAAATTGTTTACTTTGGAATGGCACCCATGGTAGACAGCACTACAATCTGGTTCCAAACAGAAGGGAATGGAAATGAATGCCAAGACAGACATCGTTTTGAAGTGTTTTTTAAAACAAACTTTTATTTTAATATTTTTTTTTTATATGTGTGAGTGTATTGCCTGCATGTGTAGGTGCACCCAAGTCATGCAATGTCTGTGGAGGTCAGAAGAGGGCATTGGATCCCCTGGAACTGGAGTTACCAATGGTTGTTAGCCACCATGTGGGTGCTAGTAATCGAACCCGGGCCCTCTCCAAGAGCAGTCAGTTCTTTTAACTTCTGAGCCATCTCTCCATCCCCTCAAATAAATTTTTTAAAAAGACATTTTTATCATATAAGCATTTCTTCATTTTCTGATTCTTTTTTATCATTTAAAACAGCAACAAGGGTAAACATGAGCAAAGTATATGATAAACATGTATGAAAATATCATAATGAAACTTACCATTTTGTATAATATATAGTAATAAAACTTTTTTAAAGAAATAAAACAAGAGCCGGGCCTGGTAGTGCACGCCTTTAGTCCCAGCACTTGGGAGGCAGAGGCAGGAGGATCTCTGTGAGTTCAAGGCCAACCTGGTCTACATAGTGAGTTCCAGGCCAGCTGGGGCTACAGGGAGACCCTGTCTCAAAAAGGACAAAAAAAAAAAAAAGAAAAGAAAAAAGATTAAAATAAATAAATAATAAATAAATAAATAAGACAAGGGCTGGGGAGATAGCTCAATTGGTAAAGTGATTGTCTGATTGTCTTGCAAGCATGAAGATGGAAGCTTGATTCTTAGAACTCAAGGGGGGAAAAAATGGACAGGGTGTGGCAATACAAACCTTTAATCTGGAGGCAGAGGCAGGCAGATCTCTGTGAGTTCTACGCAGGCTTGATTTATATAGTGAGTTCTAGGCCAGCTAGAGCTATATATCAGGAAACTGCTGCAACAAAACCAAAAACAAACAACAAACAGCCAGGTTGGTGGTTGCATGTTTGTAATCCAAATTCTGTGGAGGCAGAGACAGGAAGATCCCTGGGGTACTAGCCAGCCAGTATGGACTACTTGGTGAACTGCAGATGAGCAAGAGACCCTGTTTGGTTGTTTTGTTTTGTTTAAAAAAAAAAAAAAAAAAAGGTGAATGCTGCCTCGGAAACACCTGAGGATGTCCTCTGGTCTCCACAGGGACCTATATACAGATGCACGTGCACCTGTACACACAAACATGCACAATCAAATGTGCATGCACACACACACACAAATAAAACAAAACCCTAGTAATTAATACATTTGCCTTTTAAAAACTTTCAGCAGGGCTGGAGAGATGGCTCAGCAGTTAATTGGCTGCTCTTGCAGAGAATCTGGGTTCGTTTCCCAGCATCCACATATCAGTTAACAACCCTCCGTAATTCTAGTTCCAGGGGATCCAGCTCCCTCTTCTCACCTCTTCAGGCATTGCACCACACAGATGCACTTACAAACATGCAGGCAATACATTTATACACACAAAATAAAATAAAATAAAAATACTTTCAGCTTCATGAACATTCTAACAACAAAAGTAAACAGCCAATGCCACAAAAATTAATGGGACAGACTCACGCAATTTCAGGTACTTTTTTTTTTGTGATTGTTGCTGCATATCAGAGGTATTTCCCCATGATGTTTATGCTTTTTGGAGCTACATGTATTAATGTCCAAGATTCATGGGGACCTAAATAAAGTTTTTTGTTTGTTTATCATTTGGAAGAAGACTTATCTTAAAAAGGTCATACCTCAGTAGCCACATAGTTAGATGATACTTTTAAGAATTCAACTAGTGAGCCAGGAGTGGTGGCCCGTGCCTTTAATCCCAGCACTTGGAAAGCAGAGGTAAGGGGGATCTCTGTGAGTTCAAGGTCAGCCTGGTCTTCATAGCGAATCCAGGTCAGCTGTGGCTACAGGGAGACCCTGTCTCAAAAAAACAAAAAGAATTTAACTAGTGGGGTGGGAGAGATGAGAGATGGCTTATTGGTGAAGAGCATTAGCTGTTCTTGCAGAAGACCCAGGTTTGAATCCCAGCATTCACATGGCGGCTAACAAATGTCTGGTCTCCTCTCATACACATAATTATAGAAAAAGAATCCAACTAGTGATGCCTCTCCTACTGTACAGACCTCAATGACAAAGTAGGACAGGAATTTGGGGCTCATGGTGTGTGCTCTGACCACTAGACAAACACAGCTTTTGGCATCCAGACTCGAATGCAAGTGAAATCCAGGTAAAGGTACATAGAACTATTGCCTTCTTTGTTTAAATGTCGTTTTTGTAAGGAGAGAAGAGTGCACTTTAGAGATAAAATCATTTATCTTAACTTTGAGAAAGCAAGAGAAAATCAAACAAAAACATGTACGCCAAATAGTGAGTAGGGGCACCTCACTGACAAGTCAAATGTCACACTGTATAAAGGAATTTCACTCAGCTAAGTGATGGCCAAGCACACAGCTCCTACCAATGTGGAAAAATCACCCCGTCTCTCTTGCTGCCCCTCTGGGAAATACTGCAATGAAACTTATCAAGGCCTACCTCCTAAAGGCAGAGTGACTCACACCATGTGTTAATACCTATTTCCTCATGATCACTGGGATGTCTGTCTGGGGAGAACATCAACATAGCTCTCTTCACCTTTACATGCCTGGTGGTGGCACAGTTAGCACTCTAGAGATTTTGTTGTAAAATAGATCTTGGGATGCTGCTGCTGCAACCTCCTCCTCCTCCCCTTCTCCCCCCACCCCCTTCCTCCTTCCCTCCTCCTCCTTTTCCTCCTCCTCCTGCCCAGAATTGCTGAAGGAGGTTTAAACAAGGCAAGCAACCAATAAGAGATAGGAATCCATTAGGACTGGTTTCCATGGCTAATGTGCGGATTCCTAACTCCTTGTCATTTTGAGATTATCACCTGAATTCACAAAAGTAAATTCTGCAAAGAGAGAACTATGATATGGAAGTTTGGTCTTTAGTTTTAATTATTCTATTTTTTTAATTAGTTTTTTATTTGTATGGATGTATTGCCTGCATGTATGTGAGTGCACCCGTGTTGTGCAATGCTGCGGAGGTCAGAATGGGGCTTCGGATTCCCCTGGAATTGGAGTTAAGGACGGTTCCTAGCTGCCATGTGGGTACTGGGAAAGGATCCCAGGTCCTCTGCAAGGGCAGTCAGTGCTCTTAACCGCTGAGCCATCTCTATTTTTATGAGACACACTTTGGAACTACAATCTGTTGTGATTTTTCTCACTCTTGGAATTTCAATACATACCATACAATCAATCTGGCTTCTAAGTGATATCTCAAAGGGTTTTTGGAGTAACTATGAAAAACCCATTTCATTAAGCAGGTGAATTTCTGAGATTCTGATTACTTGGTCCCCAATGTTTTTAAAATGCCAATACGTTGTCTTTAGAGGACTGCAGTGCAGAAAAGAACAATCTATTTAAAATTCTCCTTTCAAAGATCAGACTTCCAAACTGGCATCAATTACACAAGTCAGTGTTTTGCTGTCCCGCTTCCGTGGGAATAAACACCACTTTGCAGACCTTGTGAAGTTGGATTTAGAGCTGAAAGTCATAAAAATGGGGCAGTAACCGGCATCAGGAAAATCTGGGTTTTGTCCTACTTTGTACTTGGGACCCTAGGAGAACAACTTGACTCAAACGATGGAAATAGTAAAATAATCTGTGATGGAGTTCAGTTGAGAAAGGGCCGCCAAAATTACTTTTCAAAAAAAAAAAACAAAAAAAACATTCCACCCAGCCCTTCCTAGACATCAAGTCCAGGCTTCTGCTCGGTTCAAGTTCTCTCTTCCTGCTCCGCGTTAACCCAGAGGCGGAGAGGGCAGGTATCTTCCAGGATCCTCCCTGCGGTCATTCGACTGAGTACCATTCAGAGCCGGGCTGACCAGCGCCCTCGTGGGGGTCACCGCGCGGGACCAGAACTCGCAGCCGCGGCCTCAACGTGCAGCATGGGAAAAGCCGGCTGAGCCGGCGGAACTTTTGTCACTCAACTGTCGTCCGGCCGGGGCCTGGGCTTTGTTCAGTCACTCGGCGAGGCCCGGGCGGGCGGAGGAGGCGCTTCCTCCACACGGAGGCGGGAGCCTAGGCCGCGGACCGACGGCGACGCACGAGCAGGTCAGGGAGGGG